TTCAAATTTGTGATAGTGCTATTGACAACAGCAGTGTGAGTTTGTGTGCTGATAAAACGGAAGAATTGTCACAAAAGGGCTGCTTATTTAGGGGCATCCTAACCAGGCAGTGAGCTGGGTGAGAGTGTGTTATTGATTACCTGGCTGAGCTGCATCCTGCTGACAGGAAAGATTGCGATGCTTTTAGAGGCAGAAGTTCCTTGTGCAGCTTTTAAAGATCTGTCAGTGCCAAATCTGCTTCTGGACCATGTACTCTTATCGAATTTATATTAGTGTTGATACAGCATGCATGATGCCTACAGGCTGTGAGTGCCCAGTGGACATGGGCTTGCTGCTTCCATATCAATCAATTTCAGGCGTGTTTTCCCCTTAATCTGGGTGAAATTGGCTGACTCAAATCCGATAGCCCCCGCTTAATCGAATTGCTTATTGAAATCAATGGAGATTCTGACTAGGTAAGGACCGCCTAGTTTATCCTATTCTGTCTGCAATGGTCATGCACATTTGTGTATGTGAAATAAAGAAAGGCATAGTGTAAAGAAATGGAAATTATGCAGGGATGTTTAAGCACAAAAGGAACAAAAATAACTGAAGCTGCATATCCTAAAGGTGGGGGCAGTGAACGTTGCCTCTCAAAGAGATTTTTTTCTCTTTCTTTCTTGGCCGACAGTAGCTGATTTGCTATGAGCTCAAGAAACATAGGAGGAAGAAAAAAGAGAATTTTTACATCCCAGAATAAAATGTTCCCATAAGCAGGTCAGCTTTTCTTTCTCACACAGGTGTGAGTCCCTCCTGCCTCCAGAGAACCCACACAGAGACAGGAAACCAGGAGCTTCCAGTAAGAAGTTATTTTGGCATCATGCTGAAAATGCATGGAAATCTGCCGTTAAGACAGAGTAGACATGCTCAGGTTTGACTCTAAAGCAAACCTAGGTTGCTGGACAAAATAGAAACTATATCATAGAATCATAGAATGGTTAGAGTTGGAAGGGACCTTAAAGATCGTCTAGTTCCAGCCCCCTGCCATGGGCAGGGACACCTTCCACTAGACCAGGTTATTCAAAGCCCCATCCAGCCTGGCCTTGAACACTTCCAGGGATGGGGCCTCCACAGCTTCTCTGGGCAACTTTTTCCAGTGTCTTTCCACACTCAGAGTAAAGAATTTCTTCCTAATATCTAATTTAATACTACCGTCTTTCAGTTTAAAACCATCACCCCTTGTCCTATCACTACACTCCCTGATAAAGAGTCCCTCCCCATCTTTCCTGTAGGCTCTCTTTAAGTACCGGAAGGCTGCTATAAGGTCTCTCTGGAGCCTTCTCTTCTCCAAGTTGAACCCCAACTCTCTCAGCCTCTCCTCACAGGAGAGGTGCTCCAGCCCTCTGATCATCTTCGTGGCCCTCCTCTGGACTTACTCCGACAGGTCCATGTCTTATGTTGGGGGCCCCAGAGCTGGACGCAGTACTCCAGGTGGGGTGTCACCAGAGCATAGTAGAGGGGCAGAAAATTCCTCGACCTGCTGGCCACACTTCTTTTAATGCAGCCCAGGATGCAGTTGGCTTTCTGGGCTGCAAGCGCACATTGCTGGCTCATGTTGAGCTTCTCATCCACCAACACAACCAAGTTCTCCTCCTCAGGGCTGCTCTCAATCCATTCCCTGTCCAGCCAGTATTTGTGCTTAGGATTTCCCCGACCCAGGTGCAGGACCTTGCACTTGGTCTGGTTGGACTTCATGAGATTTGCATGGGCCCACCTCTCGAGCCTGCCCAGGTCCCTCAGGGTGACATCCCTTCCCTCCAGCATGTTGACCACACTGCATTCCTTTCCCTCCAGCGTGTTGACCACACTGCATAGCGTGGTGTTGTTGGCATACTTGCTGAAGGTGCACTCAATCCCACTGTCCATGTCACTGACAAAGATGTTAAACAGGACCAGGCCCAGTACCAACTCCTGAGGAATGCCACTTGTCACTGGTCACCACTTGGACATCGAGCCGTTGACTGCAACTCTTTGAGTGTGGCCATCCAGCCAAACCCTTATCCACTGAGTGGTCCATCTGGAAACTCCTCATGAGACTTTTCTGTTCTCTCTCATCTCACAGTCTTTTCTCACTGGCCAGTACCAAGAAAAGCATTCTGCTGCAAAGGCATCTTTTTCTGCTCCCCATGTTGTCTGGAAGTAGGACACACTTGTTTCATGCTAGGCACAATTAGCAGCACTAGGATAAGCATGTGGGCTCTATACACCCCTTTTTCTCATCCACACTCCCCAAATATCCAAAAGGCTACAAAGTGCTCTGCTAAGAACTGCTCTCAAGCAGGTACCTGCTCTTCGTTTGTGTGGCACCCAGCACAGCAGGACTCTGAACCTCTCCAGGGGATGTGTCTCACTAAGTATAAAGTACAGAGACTTATAACAGCAGTGAGGTTATCTCAACTCACCTCTACACAAATGGGAATTTGTGGGAGAATCATATTGTGCACAGCAGGATCCAGGAGTAATCCAGCATCTGGCAGAAGCAAACATTAATTACATGATCTGGTTGGAGAGAGAACCGAAGCATGGAGAACATTTAATTATCTGCACTATCTTTAGCACGTCCAAAGTATTTTTGTACTTCCTATTACCTCTGTAGCAGAGACTTCATTTTTCCGCGTAAAAGATTTTAATTACATAAAATGCTCAATTAGAACCTTAATTTCCATTTTAGAAAATAAATACACCATGCAAATCACTGACTTGCTCTTAATTTCTCTAACAGTCCTCCCAAACTTTTCAATAGATGTTCCCAGTTCTCTTCCCATTAACAATGTCTGTGGGGATCCCGAACCCCAGCCTTATTACTGCTGCTCTCTGCAGCTTTATTTAAAGGAGAAAAATCTGGATCCTGTGCCAGGCCTTCCTTCCCTCGGCTTCTTCCTCGATTATCTGTCCTGCAGACAGCCTGGAGGACAGCCAGACTACTGGTTGGAAAGGTCTGTGCTATAGGAACTGATTTTGGCAGTCAGCAACTGGACATGTTATAGTGAAGTTTGTATTAGAGCAAATCTAGTATAGAAGGAAAGCATATTGCCACCAGCTCTAGACAAAGGTGGGATTGTATGAAGCAACCAAGATTACTAAGGGTGGGATGAGCAAAATTTGGCTTTGTGGAGGCAGGGAAGTGAATTGGAAAAGGAGAGGGGTCAGTAAGGTAGAGAACTGGAGAAAAGTGTGATGGGTTTGTGGGCAGATGGAGGGAGGATGGGGCAAGAGGGTCCCCACCAGGACTTCCAGTGTGGAGATGAGTGCAGAGAGGGAAGAGGAGCCAGGAGGGATCCCAGGGGTTGGGGGTGTGAAACGTGTTTGGAGGCTGTGGCTACAGCTCCTTCCTGAGGGTGGGAGAAGCCTCTCCATTTTTCAGAGAGGGGACTGAAGCACAGGACAGACTCAATGATTTGGTGAGAGGATACAGCACCCACTGGCATATTTTTAAATAGAAAACTGTTGTTTGACCACACAGACGTTGTCATTCTTCAGCAGATCTGGAATTTTGATTTTCAAGACCATACTCACTCTCCCAATCCTTAACACTTCTGGCTGAAAATTTTCAGTGGAAAGAACCATTGAAACCTCCCTCTCCCCCATCTTCCCCCACCTCTTGTGCTGTAGCTATAGTCACTCTAGAAATCTGTGGCCAAGCTACATGCCTGCTGAATGCCCTCTTCCTGGGGTTGTCCTTAAAGCTCCAGCATGGGCAGAAACCTAGTCATGACATACCAGTGTACTCCAGCAGAAGAAGGAATCGTTCCAGCAGTTGATGCCTGTTCACACAGCATGATGCACCAACATACAGAGAAACCTGAGCAAGCCTTGAGCCTTCTTGCAGAAGCTCTTGAAGAAATGCTGCCATTTTAGCAGCACCTTTGCCTTGGCTCCAGCATCCCACCCCTCTGCAGAACTGATCAGCCTGGGCAGAGACTCGTCTGTACTTGTACTGCCTGTAGCTGGCTTGTGGTGCAGGTATCTCTGCACAGTGCTGCACTGGGCCCCGCAGGTGTACCCTCCCTGCAGACAAAAGGGTGATCTCAAGCTGCAGAGACTCCAGCATTGCATTGCTACAGGTGTCTGTGTCCAGCTGCCAAGGAGCAGTTCCAGGGACACTGATGGAGAGGCTGCCAGAGGAGATGTGTAGCACCTGAACATGTGTGGTGCGCTCAGTAAGGCCAGCGTGTAGCTTAATGGGGTGGACAGCCATTACAGAGAGTGGCTGAAAATAGAAACCTCTCTTTGTGAATGAATATATGGCGTGTGTGGAACAGTTTAAGGAAACATATGAAAAGGAATTAATCTTACCTAAGGCTCTAGGCATCTTCATGACACTATGTGTTACACTATTGCAAGCCTCTTGCCGTTCAAACCAGAAAGCAGTAAGCATCAGTCTGTTTGGGGATGAAATTATAAATAAGCAGATAACCAGTACATGAATAAAACAAACTGAAAACAACCTGCATATCAAAGGAATCTGTGACAAGTGACACACTTTCACATGGATGATTGAAAATGTGAAAAAGAAAAATGAAAGGTGGAACTGAAGTACAAATGAATGAGAACTGGTAGGAAAAAGAAAAAAAAAAAAAGACAAAGACATTTTAAATAACAAGATA